ATTTAATGCACAATATTGTAAACTAATAGATTCAAAAACTCGATAATCGAGTTTTTGTTTGATTTTGCCGAGCACTATTTAAGAACCTGGTTGCTTGGTTCTCCGATCTCAGTCTCCGGTTCCAAATTCAGTCTTCCTGTAGTACTGTCGAAGATTGCACTACCTCCCAACTCAGAACTTGCCAAACGGGTTTTCGGTTCTTCCGGTATCTCAGATTTATTACGCCAAAGCTCCCATTCTAGATGGTGTAACCGAGATTACAGATTTCTAGATCCTACTGATTATCGAATAGCCGTTAACTGTATCAAGGACTATTTTTTGAAAACGTCATCTGTGGGATTCGAACTCTAGACCTGCCGTCTAGGATACGACAACTCCACCACTTCACTAAGTCACCACACCCTATATCTATTAAATATTGTTAGAGTTGATTCAGATTAAATATTAATAAATAAATTTTATACTTTTAAGCTATATTAAAATAAATATCTTGCTCTACTCATGATTATTAGTATTACTAACTAATCATTATATGAAATTGAGTATTAAATCTTGCATTTAATTGGTCGATTAGATAGTATACATTCATTGAATATTCGAATATCCAGTTTAGTGAAATAATTATATATTCAAATATTTAAATATACTATTTATCAAATCAGACTTCTTTTTAAAACTTGCTATTTCACAAATTCTTAGCAAACCACCTGTAGCAGCCAATTATAATACTCTATACTTACTCTTTTTAATCCTGAATTCTAAATAATAACAATAATAAATCACTATTTAGTATGACTACCTTTTCTAAACTCCAATTTCATATATATCTAAAAAATTAGTTAATAAATAATATTGCTGATATTATTGTTTAAAAATCATTCTTTAGCAAGTTGGGCTACAATATTAAAAGCATAAATGCATTATTTTAGAAATATCAGATTCAAATCAATCTTTTATTTCAAAATAACACTGATAGGCATATACATATCTGAATTAATGTATGGCAGTATTATATAGTATACAGTAGTATAACCTTTATAAATATGTAATTAAATGTATTAATGTCTTTAAAGAATCTTTCTTTTAAATAAAATCTTTGACATTTTCATTCTATCTGATATACTAAGTATAAAACCAAACAAGCTTAAATTAGTATTTGAATACTTTGATCTAAACAGTAATGGAAAACTACTATAGACTAGACGATTTTGATGATTATTATTATCTTGAAGATAACTCTAAAATTGTTGAAAGTTTAGAAACTTCAGCCAAGACCTTTAATTCATCAGCAGCTACTAAATCTAGTATTCAAGTAATATCAGATGTTCTAACAATACCTTTAGAAAGTAAAAAAAAAAATAATAAATTAATAATAGATTAAGGTTTTAGAATAACTAATAGTTCTATACTTTTTATCTATCCAAAGAGCCTAAAAATAAAAGAATATACAAACGTAAAAAACTATTTACTCGTAATTATTTTGAAAAAATGAAAAATGATAAAGGTGAAGAGATACAAGTTTGCAAAATTGTGAATGAGGATAAAATTAAATATGGCCAACTATACAAGAATATAGGAAGTTTAACGGGAAACCTTATTGTACATCTTAGGGACTGCTATGGAATTGTTTTACAAGATAAAATTGAAGCTCTAAAAAAGGTAACTACAAATAAAAAAACTAAATACAAAATTAACAAAAAGGTTAAAATATTAAATTTTAGCTATAAGACTCCAAAATTACTGATTTTGTGCGAAATGCTTGTCTTCATCTTATTCATATTTAGAAACAATGTGAAGAAGTAGTTCTAAAATGGATATTATTTACAAATCAGCTACTCTCTATAGTTACTGATGAAGCATACAAAGAAAAAATGGCTGCATTTGATCCTTCTTTTACTATTCCAGAAGAAAAAAAAATTAGAATCATAATTGCTAAAAGTTATAACTATAATAGAGAAAATTTAAAAAATCTTCTTAATCAAACCATAAAAAGTGTTTCACTTACAATAGATCTCTGGTCTAGCAAAACCAAGCACAAATATCTAGAAATTACTGCCACTTAGATTATGCCAAATTTAGAAATTAAAGATGTAATATTAGAAAATAAGTACGTTCTAGCTCCACATTCTAGTAAAGTTATAGCTAATGAGCTTTATAAGTATATAAATTTTTGGAATCTTAAAGATCATATAACATCAATCACCACTAATAATAGAAGAAATATGGTCTCAGCTTTCTCTTTATTAAACCAGAAAGATGGATGCAAAAAGATCAATTGCTTTTTATGTGCAGCTTATATGCTTTAGTTGGCAATTGAAAAGGGTTTAGCACCTGCAGAGATCCTGGTAGCAGTATAAAAAGGCTTATTCAATTTTTTCAATATCAAAAGCAAATAAAGAGGTTAGAGGAAGTGCAAAAAAATCTTGGCTATATAGATGTTTTGCATTGTATTTATTGATTTTGAAGATAAAAAAGTTATAAGTAATATTACAAAAAAAAAAATTTTAATTAAAGCCCCTTTAGATACAACAGGTATATTAGAAGAAGTTAAGCAAAATATTTACAAAATATTAATCTACTATTGAAATGATCCAAGTGACCTTGATCTGGCAGCAGTTTTATTAGATCTATATTACAAAGATTTAGATTTTCTAGGTGATGACTTAGAGAAGCAACTAATTATTCAAAAGCTTCGTAATAAATTTAATGAACTAGAGGAACAAGTACCTGAATTATCTACACATCCAACTTTATCTAATACAGAAGCTGCAACATAATCACATAAAGAGTACCTTCAAAAACATCAAATGAAAAGGCAAAAAAAAGACAAGACGGTGTTAGATTTACAAAATCTTGATGAAATTTCCAAATATTTGTCACTACCATTAGCATTAAGTACTGACAATCCTTTAGATTGGTGGAAAAAGCATTCTTCAAAACTTCCAAAACTTACCAAAATAGCCCAAAAGTATCTCGCAATACCTGTAATGTTGGTGTCAAGTGAACGATTGTTCTCAGATACCAGCAATCTTATTAGCTCTAAAAGAACAATCTTAGATCCAAATTTAGCAGGTCAAATATTATTTTTAAAAAAAAATCTAAAAGCAATACACGTTTTTGCGCCAGAATGGGATAATAATGAATCATAATGGGGGTATAGGCATTATCAAAGATGAAAAGAAGATATTTGAATGATATTGAAATCAGACCCTAAACACTGTTATATATTACAATATATATGTATATTGAAAACTTTTGAAAATTTAATTCAATTAAATAAAGTACTATTAGCATAACATAGATTGATAAATTTGTATTTACATAGATTAGGTTTTTGTCAGCTCTTTTTTTTTAAAAAAAAAGAAACTAATACAGTACATAAGCGTGTGTATGCGTTGTTCCACAGGTTCACTGTTAAAAAAATATATGTCGCTTTAAGTCATCAAAATTTGCAAATATCTAATAAACGTTCTTAGAAAATAAGTTACCTTGAAGAAATTTTATTACTGATCCGAATTTAGATCCGAATTAATTCGGATTTACCTGGATTCGAATTACTAACCGGATGCATTAAAGGGCATACGGATTTTATCCGAATTGCTTTGAAAATTCAGGATCGAAGCTCTAAAAAAAACCCCAATTACTTAAGAATTCTTATTATTTTTTTTATTTGTAAGAATTAAATTTATCAAATTATGTTAGAAATTATCGTTATGTGGCAGGCATATATTGCTGTGGTTATAAAGAATTAATAAAATTCAATTGCTTGGCTACATAAAAATATTGATTTTAGCCCAATATGTTTATTATGGTCTTGGAATATTCAAAATTCAATATTAGTATGAAATTATAATTAGAACTACCAATTTGATTTTGCCAATTTCAATAAAATTTTTTGTTTTAATTTTATCCGGTTTATTCGAATATCTGCCGGAGTTAGTCAAAGACGGATGGACAGATACGGATAAACTCCGGTTTATCTGAACGGATAGACAGATTCCATCTCTATACCGTGGGAATACCCCTCCCCTGTATTTGTACAGAGTACATAGCGATAGTTTTAAGGTTATGTGAATGTTGTACTCGTTAATTGGCCAAATTTATCAGTAAATTGACATTCATATGGGTTACACGAATGATTTTTAGACTTGAAATCCAGAATCACGCTTTATTCTTAATTCACTTTCTAAAATGAATGAAATAACAACCCCAGAAGCGTATTATTGCGAACAAACAACAACTTCCCGAATTAGAGAGGTATTTAAATGATTTTTGAGAATTCGACACAACAGTGAGCGAAATACACTAACGACCATAATAATAGATCTTAACTCAGATTGAAAAATCATTAAAAGGAAATCAAGATCGTGATATCGTCAAGATCTCTCTTCCTGTCAATGAACTTAATAAAGTTGGTGTGCGTAACGCAATAAACGCAAAATACGATGCTGAAATTATTGACAGTAACTTATTTATTAAAGTGAGTTTCATTCTGACTTAACAACCTACATGACCTACATGTCTATTAACAACCTTGTATCAGTTTGATGGTGGAGTCAAGGAAAGAATCCATCGTCGAATATCAAATTCGTGTGAAGCGCAAAGACCAGAATGGTTCACAGAAATTAACATGATATGTATGGTTGGAAACAGTCAGCTTCGGCCTGATGTAGGCATATGGTTCCGAACTCCAACACATGCACAAATGATTGAACCTGTTGCAGATTTTTGTCCACCACCAGATATTTGGATTGAGGTAAAATTATATTAATCTTCTATTAGAAAGAATACAACGGCTTGGCTTATATGATTTGGACCATTTTAGGTATTCTTTAATCGAGACCCAGATCGTAGCAATGCTATAGACAAAATCGATTTTATTCAGAGAACTTGGATAGGCATCGAATTTGTTGGAATCTGTATTCCCCATTCACGAAATCCTATTTCTCCGAATCCACATCCAGGATCAACTATCACTTCTGCAACCAGTCAAACTATCAGACCTTACAGAGCCCCATATGTCATTTATTGGGACCTAAATGGCAACTTGATCTACTATATAATGGACTGGAATCATAATCTTACACTTCGGTGCGGTTTGACAATTGATTTCAATATCGTACTTGCTATACTTTCTGCATCTTATTAGACTGTAGTCCGATAGTGATTCAACGTGCGAATTTTACTTACCAATACATAGGAAAATATTAATTATAACTAAATGATATTATGTAATCAGAATTATGTTTATGTGTGATCACGGCTCATGGTATATACTAAAACATGAATATGTAATAGCAATAGTATTTTTCTGATGCTATTTGCACATGCTTAAAAAATAATAAAGCCCGAAATGTGGGTAGATCCTTCTTTGGCTCATACAATATATTTGAAAAAATAAAGTTTATAAATAGCAAATATGGAAATTTGGATACATATAACGGATACAGATAAGATAATATCTAACCTTGGACATATCAAGAACAATAAAGGTGTGATTTTAAAAGGAAATGTTTGCAAAAGAAGTGGCTATAAACGAATTGATTTAAGCATTAATAATATTCGTACATCAACTGATATTCATATCTTAGTTGCACAAGCCTTTATTCCTAACCTAGAAAATAAGCCTTACGTTAACCACATTAACAGTATCAAACTTGATAATCGGGCTATTAATTTGGAATGGGTAACTCCTAAAGAGAATGCTGAACATAAAATATTCACAAATACTGGCCTTAGTAGCTCTAGGCTGTTGTGCAGAAACATTGGATGGAATGTTCTTCAAATTTGGAATTCAATCCCTTGCTTAAAAATCACAGGAAATATCATTTTAGAATATTGTAATGGAAAGTAAAATACTGCTAGTGGTTGGTGTTGGATGTATTACAAAGATTATATAGAACCAGATCTCAATGAAGAACGGAGAGAAATAGAAGTTAATTTATGAAAATTTAAAGTTTCATTCTTAGGCAGAGTTTAGTTACTGAATAGTGTGATCACTCAAGGATCTTTGTATGCAGGCTATTATCAAATTGGCCATATTAACAAATATTGTGTTCATTGTTTGGTAGTGCTAGTATTTTGCTTTAAAGAAGAGGGCAAAGAATTTGTAAATCACATTGATAGTGATTTTACCAACAACAAAAAATCTAATCTTGAATGGTGTATACCAAGAGATAATGTACAACATGTGGTGTGTTTTAGATTTCAGGATAGTTGGATATGTCAACATGCTGTCAAGCAAATTTTTGATAATGGTTTTTTTAAAAATTTCCATCTTTAATTAAAGCACAACACATAATTAGGATTGATTAATCAAGTATCTCGAAGGTTTGCAGAGGATATTGAACTTATACTTGCAAATATTATTGGAAATATGTAAATACATGATACAAATAAACAAGATACTAATTAAAGAGTATGCATATTAATAATTTTATTTGTAAGTTGTATAATATATAAACTTCCTGATCGCAGAGATTAGAACATATAACTTCATATAACTGGTGCAGTAAATTATTTTTTCTGTGTTAAAATACTAAGTATAATATTATTAATATTATTCTTTCTTAATTTGAAAATATTTAAAGCACTAAAAGATTTAATTCTCATAATTTTATCTTCTTTAATATTAATAAAGAGTTGTATAAAACTTTTATAATTTTTCTACTTTCTTCTACAATATAGTATTTATAATATTGGAAATTTGCTCTTTAACTTTTTTATTAGCTAGCAACAAAGAAGCATATGGTAAATTTGTTTTTTTGTAATGCTTAAATCATTTTAATAAAGCTTTATCAAAAAGATAATAGTATTATAACCTCCTGATTTATAATTTTATTTTGGGTTTCTGTATAGATTATTTTTTTTTTCAGTGTTAAGGTAACCTCTTTGGCCATAGGGACTTTTTATTAGTAATTATTTACTATTACAGTTATAATGAAGATACAACTAGCTATATATACACCTTTTGAGTGCCTATTTAAGTAGTTCATCTACAAGTTCTATATTAGATATCATATCTATAACCCAACTAGGAAGTTACTCATTTAAATCTTCTAATCCTAACCATTTTTAGCATATCATACTAACCTGAAAACTACTATCTGGCCCATTCTACTAGATTGCGTACCCTGTCTTAGGACTTCTATAATTTATCCTGGGTTTGCACTGGCTAATTATTGGCTTGTATTCTTTTATTGAGTGGACGCATGGCTATCCTTGAGGTAAATCTACTAGAACCTTCCATATCCCATATCTGGCTAACCCAGTCATTGCAGTTGCTGAAGCTCCCACTTGCAGTTTGGTGTAATCCAATTAAACCACTATGCCCTTGTAAGATTCACTTCAACCCCAGTACTTATATTCAGGTTTTACTTTTTTCATTCTTGCCTTATTAGTCACTCTCTTACTCCTAACCTGTGACCCAGAAGATTTGACCCTAGCTAGGCTCTAGATGCCTTGTATCCCATCTTATCATAGTATATAATTTTATAGCACATGTCCTTTTCCTTCAATTGGGTCTGACCAGTCTCCAGGGATCGCCTAGCCCTTGTTATCAGGTGAAACCTAACTCCCAAATCCTAGTCATAGTGGATAACTACTCCAGTTTCTTATACTAGCTAACTAGGTTGGTGTGCTAGCTTTTTCTCCAATTGGTGGTAGATCACTCCATTTAAAGATCTTGTTGTTATTCAGTTTTCCAATCTTAGCTATCACTTCCAAATTTGATCTTCCTGTAGCATTGTCAAAAGTATCTACTATCTTCTTACTCGGGTCTTTCCAAACAGGTTTCAATCATTCCAGTTTCTTAGCATTTTTGCACTGAAGCTTCCACAATAAGATGGTACAACCAGATCACTATTATTTTCCTGATATTAATTTCCCTGACAATTACTTCCCCAACAAATTATTTTCCTGACACAATCATTTTCCTGATATTTATTTCCCTGACAGACACTTTCCCAACACAATCCTTTCCCCGACACAATCATTTCTCTGACATAACTATTTTCTTGACACAATCATTTCCCCAACAAATTATTTCTCTAACATAATCATTTCCCCAACATAATTAGTTTCCTGATATAATTATTTTACTAACAAGTTATTTTCCTGACACAATCATCTTCTCGACAAATCATTTCCCTGACATGATCATCTTCCAATACAATTATTTTTTCAACAAATTATCTCCGACACAATCATTTTCCAAACCCATTAAAGATTTAATACATGAATAAATTATTAGAGAAACTATATTCTTTATTTATTATCTTTTGAAAAATTAAAGTAATTCAATCTTATTTTATTAGC